AAAAAAAAAAAAAGAAGATATGGGGTTTTTTTTTTAATAAAATGAAGTACTACTCAGCCATACAGAATGAGAAACGAGACGTTTATAGCTAAATGGATCCACATTGAGGTCATACTCTTAAGTGAAGTAAATAGGACACACGTGTAAATACCGAATAGTTTCTCTGGTGTGAGAAACTGAAAGTGTAAATAAGGATTAAAATGAATAATTGATGTGAAATAGGAAGAAAAAGTCCAAAAGGGTAGGGGAAGTGGGAGGGATAGGAGAAAAGAAAGAAGGGAAAGGAAAAAATATGAGAAAAGGAAAATATGGGAACAGTCTTTGTAAATAGGGAAGGGTGGAGGATTTGAAGGGAGTGCAGGGGAATAGGGAAAAAATAAGAACCAAGATACCTAATATAAAGGGTCCAAGTTGCCAATGATAAATGTAAATGTATTGTATGCCTAAAATGTACCAATAAAATAATTTAAGGAAAAAAACCCCAATAAACAAATAAAAGAGCTCGACACGGTGGGGCATGTCTGTAATCTCAGCAGTCAGATGGCTGAGGCAACAGGATCACTGAGTTTGAAGTAAGACCCTGTGTAATGAATGAGAGGAGGGACAGAAGGGAGAGGGACAGAGATAGAGATGAAGACAGAGAGATGCAAGCTGGGGATGTAGCACAATGGGAAGGTCATGGGCCCAAAAATACTGCAGAAAAAAAAGAAAAGCTAAATGTGCAAACTATAGGAGCCTATTAACCTACACAGCATGATAGGCACTAAACACAATCTTCCCCACACATGCTGAGCTGTGGAGGTAGGGAGGCATTAAAGTTGGGGAAAGCGCTATTCCAGGCCCTCCATAAATCAGTTTCCATGAACCCCAGATAACACGGAGCAACCTCACAGGTGGACGCTGACCAACACCTGGTAGAGCCCAGAGGCCCCACCTGGCTTGAATACTTTTTTTTTGGTACCAGGGATTGAACTCGGGTCTTTGCGCCTGCGCAGCAGCTTGAATACTCTTCATATATTCTGTATGAATACTCTTCATACAGAAGTGTTAGGGAAGAGCTGAGACAGCACTGCACTTTTTCCCTATGGAGTCCATTTTATTTCTGGTTTTGTTTTGCTTTGAGACAGGGTCTTGCTATGTAGCTCAGACTGGCCTCCAATTCAGTGATTTTCCTGCCTCAGCTTCTCGAGTGCTGGGATTTCAGGTGTGCACCACCACACCAATTAGAGCCTAAGTACTATGGAAAGGTGTTTCTTCTTTCGGTGCTGGGGATGGAACCCTGGGTCTTGTGAGGCTAAGCACCCTGTGTACTACAGAGGTACAAGGGGTCAGGAGTGTAAATTACCGTAACTCTTGACACAGCAAAACAGTTTTGTTTTTGCAGTATTGGTGAACACAGGCCAGGTATAACACTGAGTTATACCCCCAGCCCTTTCTATTGAGGCAGGGTCTCCTTGTCATTAAAAGTGCCCAGGCTGGGATCCAATTTGCAACCCTCCTGGCTCAGCCTCCCAAAGGGCTGAGATTACAAGCATTAGCCACAAGTGGCTTTACAATACTTTGGGATTATCAAGAAATATAGTTTAGTGTGAAGGCTCAGGGTTTAATCCCCAGTATTGAAAAAAAAATTGTTTATAAGCTATGATCAAAAACACAATGAACAAAGCCAGGGATGTAGCTCAGTGGCACCTGCCTGGAAAGCACAAGGTCCTAAGTTCGATCCCTGGTACCGACATAAACAAAAAACAAAACACAAAACACAATAAACACTCCTGCAGAGTGGCATCCAACAAAGGTTCATAAAAAATCAGTGTGACTTCTGGTTTGTCCTCAAAGTCAAAATGACCATGAAAGGTTGTTTTGAATCAATTCAGCACATCAAAGCAGCCACAACTGTACAACCAGACACAACCCTTCCAAAACTGCTTCAGGAAATGGCTAGGATGAGATGTTTGAAATAAGAAGGGCCAGGGATGTAGCCCAGTGGTGTCACGCCTGCCTGAAATAAGAGGCGCTTTGAGAGGAATTAATGTCAATATGTATTTCATTTTTTTCATCATACTGTATACAGCCCAACTTTTTGACAGGGTTTTGGCCTCAAACTTTTGTCTCAACCTAGAATTACAGATGTGTACCCCTGTACTTTGATAAAGCAATTTTTACAAGTGTTAGGTCCTCCCTTCAAAGTAGAATCCCTAGAGACAATCCTAAACCCTGATCCCTGCTCTACTTTGAATGTTATTAAGCAAGCTGGAATCTGGACCATCACTTTTAGGGTTCCCTTTGGCCTTGGGACTCCCTTGCACCATCTAACCCATGAAGGGGTCATAAGAGTGCACAGAACTCTTGTGTGGCTGCTCCCATGCAAATACTTTGGTTTTCTGAAAATTCAATTTGCTTCACCTGTTTTGAGGACATACACTGGTGTAACTGTAAAGGGAGGGTCAACTTAAAAAAAGGAAAATACTGAGGACTGATCCCAGGGCCTCACTGCACTCTCGAGACTGGGCTTCACCAAGTCACAGGCTGCACTGGATACTCCTGGCCCCTAGAGTGCTCGGATTACAGGCCTATGCCACCATGTTGTTTTCAACAGCTCTAGTGAAGCTACAGGATTTTTGAATACACAGAACCACTTTCACACTATCAAAATATTCTACCTTTTTTTGGTAATTATACATGGTTAAACACACACTTTGACAGGGTCTTGCTTTGTACGTAGCCCAGCCCAGCCTCCCAAGTGTTGGGATTACAGGTGTGCTTTACCACACCTGGCTAGTGTTTTTTAGCACAAGGTATATAAAAATCTCCAAGCTGCTGGGGAAAACAATGCAAAAACCAACTGGTAAAATAAACCTTCAACAATCTACCCACAAATGTATTATGTGAGGTTAACATAAATAGATCCTGTCTAACCTCATTGCTGAATTCTGACAAACCAGTCACATAAAGTAAGGTACACTCCCTAAACTTCTTCCAGTTTGCGCTTTATTCATTTTCAGGGTGCTACTTAAACTTGGACAGGACAAATCAACCCCACAGATGCCGAAACTCCTTTTTCACCCATCTATGCAAATTACGAAGATCAAGAATATGAATACAGATGAGCTTAACTTAAAAGGACAAGCTCTCGCTCATGAAAAGAATGAGGTATATATAGAACATATACAAAACTGCATCTGGCAGAAACACTCAACACACTGTATAAAGTATAACATCCATTTTATTAGTTTATTCCCTCTGCCCGGAGAAGACTTTTCTTCAGTCCATTAAAACCCAGGTCCTTACATGGGCTTTGGTGGGGGTCGTGGGGCAGCGCCCTGAAAGACAAGGAAGTGAAATAAATTAAAAACCACAGGTCTAGGGTCAGGGATTTAGCTCAGTGGTGCTGTGCCTGCCTCGAAAGTGCAAGGTCTGAGTTTGATACCTGGTAAAAACAAAAACAAAAAAAACCCCCCAAAACCAAAAACATCACAGATCCAGCTATGTGGAAATTTGAAGCAGGAGGATCACAAGTTTGAGGGCAGTCCGGAAAACTTAGCAAGACCCTGTCTCAAAGAGGACTGGAGGGGCCAGGGATTTAGCTCAGTGGTTCTGCCTTCCACTTGCAGAAGGATCCAAGTTTGATCCCTGGTACCAAAAAAAAAAAGGATTGGAGAAGTACTTTGGTACAAGGCCCTGAGTTCAATCCTCCAGCACTAGGCAAACATATACACCATCATGGATCTTAAGCCAGATGTGGAGGCATGCATGCACCCACAAGTTCAGCTACATAGGAGGCTTAAGTGGAGGATCACTTAAGCCCAGGAGTTCAAAACTGGCCTAGGCATCATAGCACACTGTTGTGGTCATAATCCCGTCCTCTAAAAGAACTTGCTGAGGGACAGGGATTTAGCTCAGTGGCACCAGCACTGCGCCTACCTTGCAAGCACAAGGTCCTAAGTTCAATCTCGGTACCAAAAAACCCCCAAAACAACAACAACAAAAAAGAACTTGTCATAGCAATACATTCAGGGCATAAAAATGCATGGAAAGCTGGCAGATGTAAGTAGGGCACGTTATTTCACCTAAAAAGGCGTTTTCAACACCCTTCCACCCCAACCTTGGAACTGAACCCAGGAAATGTTGAGCTATATCCGGGAATCGAACTCAGGGCCTTGTACTTGCCAGGCAGGTGCTGTGCCACCGAGCAACATCCTCGGCCTCCTTGGCCTTTTTTGAGACAGTTTAAAAGAAATTATACAGGCTGGCCTCGAACTTTTAATTCTCTTGCCTCAGTCTCCTAAGTAGCTGGGGTTATGGGCATGGAACACCTGGCATGGATTCTAACAAACCTTGAGAAGTGTCTCTAAGCAAGTGTTTAGATGTGTGTCTCATCTACCTTCCCAGACTAAGACCTTAATTTGATATTTCTGACTTTTGTTTATCTTTTTACTGTCACCTCTCTTGGCTTCCACATCCTTTTAAAATACAGAAATAGGTGTGATGGTGTATACCTATAATCCCAGCACTTGGAAGACTGAGGCAAGACAATAGCAATGAGTTTAAGGCCAGTCTGCAAAAGTCAAACAAAGGGAAAAAAAAAAACTTACAGCAGGTCTAAACCGGGGCGGAGGTGTTCGGTCCTTCCGGGCTTCACGAGATCGATTCCTAACCACCTTGCTGTGGATGGCACAGCTCACACAGTAATGCAGCTTCACATAGAGCTTGGGAAGCACATAAGCTGACAAGTAAAAATAGTATGTTATTTTTCTACCCACCCTTTACTACTTCTTGTTCTTGCTATCAAAGTCAAAACTAAAACTCCTTTGTCTATCAGACACATCCACAAAATTTTCACTCCCAAAGCAAATGGTTCAGTTTCTGACACATAAACAAGTACATGCAACTGTACTTGTTTGTACAAGTACATCACACATATCCCCCACAACCCCACAGGAACCAAATTCACATCCTACATGTAATAAACCAAGAGTCCTGTTCCCTTCAACAGCTTTATCAGCTGTAATAACTACGTCTGGGTTCCTTCTTGTTTCTTAAGTAGTTTCTTTTCAGGAAAATAATGTGTCACCACCATCTCACCCTTGTCCACCACAGGAGACTGCCTCTATTGTTCAAACAGTCAAGAGTCTTAGTCACTTGAGCACTTTCACAAATGTTCTTCACTAATTCAAGAATTGTTACATACATTAACCGAGTTTCTACCTCTAAGTTTCTGAAATCCTACACCCCAAACAAGTAGTCATGCAGACTCAAACTTACCACTAAAACTTGCACAATGTTAATCATAAAAATTCACTCTGCCCAAAGCTCAGAATGACAGAAGACATACCATTTCTTTTTACAAACAACTTTACAAATACTTTAGGCAAGTGCAAAGCCCATACAAGGGTGAGGTAGGGGAGATCTTTGCACAGCTCGTGTCAGTGGCACTTACAGTCGAAGACACTTGCTTCGGAAATGTCCCTGACGGCGGCGGCCTCTACTATGTTTCGAATGACGAACTTCTTAATGGCCTTATCCTTGGGCACGCACCGCGCGCAGTTCGTGCAACGAATAGGCTGCACATGGCCGCGGCCCTTTTTAGCACGACCGTTGTTCCTTCTTTTTTTGGTCTGCATCAAGAGAAATCATCCCATTAAAAGCACAACTTTGCTAGCTTCAGCCCCTTTCCCGCTATATTCCCCACAGGTAGCACCCCTCGAAACGCGCCGGATTCTTTTGGGTTACAGATGCACCTCGTCCTCTCGTCAACCGCGGCCAAGTTCTCAAATCCCCACAGTCCCAACATCTGTTCTTTTCAGTCTTTACCCGAATCCCCGTGATCACCACGCGCCAACACTCACCATCCTGAAAGGGAGGACCCGAAAGAGGATCCGGCTCCCGGCGGGCCCTCTTATATAGCCAGAGATTCATACGCTCACACCGGAAGAGCACTTAGAAGACGGAGTCAAGGATGAAAAGTCAATTTCCTCAAATTTTCATGATTATTTAGCACTTCCACTGAAATTTTGAGTGTAAATAGTTCCTAGAATTTATTCATCCGTGATACAAAGTATCTGTGGGAGTATTTATCCTACTGGCGGAAGAAAACTAGAGTATATAGTTCCAATACACTTCACAACACCGTAGCCCGGAAGTAATTCTGGGCGTTATAACTTCCGGTTTATGCTTAGTGGGTGTGGATTTAGCCTGAGGCTAGGCCACAGTTTGTCTACCCTATTAGAAGCCAAGGGGAGCGGTGCATGGTGGGAGTAGTAGTACGAAGTTTAGAGGCCCGTGGCCCTTCGTCTTTAAAGGCGGCGCTATACGGTGATGGCCAGTCCCTGTTCTGTTTCTCTGACAGTCCTGTTAACTAGGTTTAGGATTACGAACTGGAAGACCTGAGAGGAAACAAAACATTTTGTGAATTACCCCTTCCAGTATGGATAAAAGCCCGTAAAGACAGTCCATGGATAAGTGCACTGGTGCTGGAACTGTTTCTTATCCATGTTTTGTTTGGTTTGGTTTGGTTTGGTTTGGTTTGGTTTTTTGAGACAGTCTCGCTATGTAGCTCAGGCTGGCCTTGAATTTACTATGTAGCCCAAGCTCTTATTCACCCTTTTAATCTGGGGGTACTGTTAGCATAGTGCCAGTTCTGGGGACTGTGGTAGGGCATTGTAAATATTTACTTACTTAACCCTCAACAAGCCTATAAGGTAGATACTATTATTATCCTCACTTTAAAAATTGAAAAAGCGGGGCGTGGTGGCGCACTCCTGTGATCCCAGTACTTAGGAGCCTGAGTCAGGGGGGTCGCTGTGAGTTTGAAGCCAGCTTGAACTACATAGTGAGACCCTGTCTCAAAAAAATAAAGAACAGGGCCGGGGGGATTTAGCTCAGTGGTTCTGTCACTTGCCTCGCAAGCTCAAGGACCTGAGTTCGATCCCTGGTACCCCCCCCCCCAAATCAAGAAAAAAAATTACAGGCATGACACCTGTAATCTTTGTTACCCCTGCCTGAGATAGGAGAATGTCAGTTTCAAGGCCAGCCTGGCCATTAAGCAATACCCTGTATTAAAAATAAAATTTAGCCTGTAATCCCAGCTCTGTGGGAGACTGAGGCGGGAGGATCACAATTCCCACTCAGCCTAGGCAACTTAGAGACTTAGTAAAACTCTGTCTCAAAGAGTTAGTGCTGTAGCTCAGTGCAAAGGGTCTGGGTCCTTCCCCCAGCACCAACAAATAAATAAATAATAAGTTTTAAAAATACAATTTTAAAAGTGTCTGGGAAATTTCAGTAGTTGGGAGACCATGGCAAGAGGATTGCAAGTTTGAGGCCAGCCTGGGTTATATAGTGGCTCAAGGCTATACTATATTACATAGCAAGACTGCTGTCTCAAAAAACAAATAAAATGCTGGGTGTGGTGGTGCATGCCTGTAATCCCAGCACTTGGGAGGCTGAGGCAGGAGGGTCGCTCCAAATTCAAGGCCAGCCTGAACTGCATAGTAAAATCCTGTCTCAAAAAACAAACAAAAAACAAACAAAAACAAAAAAAGGCTGATTGCGCAGTTCATTGGTAGTGAATGCTTGCCTAGTATGTATAGGCTCTTAATTCAATCCCCAGTATCAAATAAATAAATAAGTAAATAAGAGAAAATAAAAAGGGGGGTTGGGTGTGGTGGCATATGCCTGTAATTCCATCACTCAGGAGGCTGAGGCAGGAGGATCACCAAGAGTTCAGGCCAGCCTGGGCTACATAATGAGTTCAAGACCAGCCTGAACTATATAGTGAGACCCTGTTGCAAAAAAAGGGGGGTGGGTGGGGATGTAGTTTGGTGGTAGAGCACTTGCTTTAGTATGAGTGAAGGCCTGGGTTCGATTCCCAGTACCAGAAGGAAATAAAGTTGAAAAACTGAGGTGTAGAATTGATAACTTGTTCAAGGTTACCCAAAGCTACTAAGAGATGTTCTTATGCTGTTTCTCACCTGGCCAACAAATGGATATAGGTATAGCCTGGGCCACTGATTTTAAATGTTGATCCAGACACATAGAAACACACTTTACATTGGTACCTGTACTCAAACACAAATATATACATATACAAACTAAAACACAAGGTTCATGAAATAACACCTTATGACATAACTGCACTGGTTTGTTCTATTCTCTTTATTTTTTGAGTTCCTAGGGATTGAACCCAGACTGAGCTACATCCCCAGCCCTTTTTGTATTTTTTATTTTGAGTCAGGGTCTAAGTTGCTATATTGCCCAAATTGGACTCAAACTTTCAGTACTCCTCCCTCAGCCTCCCAGAGAGCTGAGATTATAGTTGTGCACTACTGCCTGGCTGTTTGGATTTTTATAGCTTGGGGTTTCACTGCTTTCCCTTGGTATAAAGGGACAGGGGGGCTTTGGAGTCATACACTCCTAAGTTCAAATTCTGGTTCCATCACTTACTGACAGGTTTTGGACAAGTTATTTTATCCCTTGGGGTTTTCTTTCTTTTTGGTACCAGGGGTCGAACTCGGACCTTTCACTTTTGAGGCAGGCGGCAGAACCACTGAGCTAAATCCCCAGCCCCCTTGGGGTTTTCTTTACCAACAATTATCATGCCTTTATAAGTGTTTCTTCAAAAAAAAAAAAAAAAGTGTTTCTTTAATTAAATGAAGACCTGCTATAGTACTTGGCACCCTGAGACGCTTAAGTGATAGATTCTATCATCATCATTCCTGTTACTGTCACTTGTATCTTCCTGAGGATATGTGTTTTGCACATGTAGACAAATGTGTGATGACTATGGAGCTTGGAATGTGGCTGAGTGGTAGAGCACTTGCTTAGCATGAACTAGGCCCTGGGTTCAATTCTTAGTACCGCCAAAAAAAAAGAAAAAAGTTTGATAACAATTCTGCTTTGGATAGATAAGCAAGTCAGCTTTCTCTCCCATCCTGAAGACACTCTTGGTAGGAAAGTCTCCACTTCCCGTTCTAGGCTGAATGTTCTGTTATTTGCACCAATAACCTGAGCACACATGTCTGGTTTCCTCTCTGTCTTACACTTGCTTACCTCCTAAACTGATTAGTTGGTACAACATGTTGCAAGGACACCCCCTCCCTCTCAGTAGAAAAGCTAGGCAAAGGAAGTCTGCAAAGACAACCAGGGGTGTTAAATTACTCATGTTTATTTATAACAGACCTTCAGCCAGTACAGTACAAAACTTACAGTAGTATATCTCCGTTACACAAATATTTACTTACAATATATTACATATACAAAATGCTTTGCAATAAGTCTCAAAAGCTAGTTTAACTCCTCTTAAGATAGGAGAAAAACTCTTTAAAAAAATGTGGGGGGGCACCAGAGAAAGAGGGGAGGTGAAGGGGCCAGGGCCAAAGGAAACACCAAACTGGCTACAAAGGAAACCCTGGGAGAAGAAGAAGAGAGGTGGTATTGCACTTGCTTCTGTGTTTTATTTTTTGTTTTTTTTCCTTTTTGTTCTTCATAAGTTCTGATTAAAAATATATCTATATATATATTATGTACATAAGGAAATAAGCTGCCAGAAGTATTACAAAATCCCACCCGCAGCTTGGACACTGACACAGAAAAACAAAAGTCTGGAAAAGTGTTTTTTTTAGAAACTCTTTTTTTATTTTTTTATTTTTGTGATGTTGATTTTGAATAGCAATATAAAAGGAAACACCTCTTTTCTCCATGTGGGTTTCAGTGTGTGTGTATGCTCATGTGTGGTTCTTTCTTTAATTTTTTTTTTTTTATGCAAAAGGAGCTGGGAGAGAGCAAAAGGATGTTTGAGGTTCCAGAGCTGGAAGGCTCTGAAGAGGAGGATTTTGTACCTAAGACCCTGGTTAAAGTGCAGTGGTCGTCTGGAGAGAGACAGAATGCCCTTCTCTCCCTCCCTAGCACCTGGTCTTGCCCTTCCAGTCTCTGCTCTCATGGGCACAGAGTCGCCTCAGAGCACAGTCCTTCATGTTCCAGGAGGTTACTGGTGCCAAGGCTGACTAGAGAAGGGGATGGGGCACCCTAAGGCTCTGATACCCCACAAGGGGGACTAGTCCTTATGAGGTATCATCAATGCACAGCAGATGCAGAAGTGGAAGGCGTAGGTCTAAGGGAAAGGGGCTCAATAACCAGAATAGCTCAGGAGAAGCCTAGATATTAATCTCAGCTTTGCTGCCATCCTGGACAGGAATGCCCCAGGGTGCTGTTGAGAAAACTCTTCCCCTCTTGAGGGACCACTCTCCTCTAAGTTGACTGCCCCATCCTCTGCCCTTGGCAGCACCTATTTATTGCTACATTGTCAAGGAGAAACAATCACCCTAGGCAGCCTCTCCCTGCCAATCTGGTTCTCTCGGGGAAACCATGTAACAGGGGAGGAAAAGGTGGAAGAGGAGAAAGTGATGTCCTTTCCCATGACAGGGTAAGGTAGACTCTTCTCAGAACCCTGAAGAGTCCCAATCCCAGGATTTGATCCTTAACCCCAAATATCCCTGATAGGGAGTGAGAAAAGTCGGAAAGGCAAAAGAGCCTATGAGGAAAGGACATGTGGAAAAAGATGGAAGGGAAAGGAAGAGAAAAAGAGAAGAAGGACCAAGAGTTATAACTTGTGAGGTGTTGTGTTTGGTTTTTACTTTTTCTTTAAACATAGAAAAACAGCCTTTGGTTTGAATCTCAAGGAAGAGAGAGTGGGATGGCTGTGGCCGCGGGCAGGGAACTCTGTAGGACGAGGCCTCCACTTACAGTGGAGCTGGGCTGCCTCCTCCCCTCTCATGAGTCCTGGGTTTTCCAAATAGAACCCGCAGTTAGCAGAGAGCCAGGGGCTCTGCAGCAGCCGGAGCAGAAGCCCCTCCTGCCCTGTGTCTGGGAACTGAATGTGGGAGGGCAGTGAAGGATGAGCCCACTTGGAGGAGCTGGGTAGAATGGGTGAGGGGCACAGAGCCTTGATCATCCTGGGATCATTTTTGGTTATACTGAAAGAGGGAAAAGAGACACCCTTTTCTTCCTGCCACTGATGGTAAAAACAGGGCCCAGAAGTCCAGGAATGAGAGGGTGGCTCCTCCTGGGAGGGAGAGGAGAAGGCAGCATGAGTAAGGGGCTGAGAGGTCCTCTGCTCAGGCAGCAGCCCACCAGTTTGTCACAGGACAGGGACTGCAGGAGTCCCAGAGAGCCCAGGAAGGTCACAAGAGTGAAAAAGTTTGGGAAGTTGAGGAGAGAGATTTTATTCACCTCCTTCCTATGCCCTGACTCCCAGTTAGGCACCTGAGGCTCCCCGTCTGTCAGAGACAGAGGGTTGCAGACCTAGCCTTGGCCCCTGAGAATATAAAATGGGGGCACTCCAAGGAGAGGAAAGCCACCACTGAGTAGAGTGGCCAGCTGAAGAGGCTAGAGTGGTGACAAGGGGTGGTGGGAGAGGGAAGAGTTGTATCACATCCTGGAGGGAGACCCTAAAGGGAGGCTTTGGGAGCTCAAGAAGATCCTCAGCCCCACAGTGCCCAGGGGGGATTTCTTCAGCTCCTCCTACTTCCAAATGAGGAAATTCTTCAAGAATAGTGCAAGCTGCCTAAAGTGAGAGGGCACAAGAGGTATGGATAGTACCAGGCTGAAGGGTCCCAGAGAGGAGATATAATGCCACAGAGTCAAGGTGGTGCCACTGGGAGGTATCAGCATCAAAACTGAAGAATTGGATAAAGTAAATGGCAAAGATTAAAGCAAGAAGCACAAAGTCTCTTCCTTTGAAGAGGAGCTTCTGACCCCTGGGGCTGTTAGAGGATGGTGGATCAAGGAAAAAAAAAAAAAATTAGGCCTAGCTTAGAAGGAAGCTGAGGGGAGAAGCGTGAGGGAAGTGGCAAGGGATGGCCATAAGTTAAAAAAAGGCAAAAGAAAAACAACCAATAAATAACTCAGTGTGCTGGGGTGAGAGAAAAAGAGAAAAAGGAGAAACATAAAAGACCTGTTTCATCACAATGCCTAAACTGGTCAAGGAAGAGAAGAAGAAAAGGTGAGGAGGGTCAGGGTCACATGTGAGGTCATGTGGCCAGTGGTGGGGACAGAGCTAGACACCTGGAGGGGGCAGTAGAGAGGCAGACTAAAGGTAGGGGGCGAGGTCACTAGCCCACCTTATGCTCCCCCCGGACAATGTGGGAAGAGAATTCGTACCGGTCTTGGCTGTGGTAACCACAGATGTTGCACTCAAAAGGGTCTCTGAAGCCATGGCAGCCCATGTGGATGGTGAACATGACATGGTCCAGGAAGAGGATGCGGCAGTGTTCACATTTGAAGGCTTTCACAGGCTCACCGCTCTCGCCCACCACTCGAAGCACTTCCTTGGAGGGGCCTGGGGTGCCCCGAAGTAAGCCCTCTTGTGGCTTGGGGTCCTCTTTGGCATAGGCAGGACTGTGCCGGCCCACCACTATGGTGGGAGGTGGCTGGGGTGTGGGGCCCTGAGGGAGGGACACCACCCCCCCAACCCGATCTTCGTGGTTGCTCTCTGTGTCTGTGGAGTCCTGGCAGCCGTTGCTGGGGGATGCCCCTGGGTCAGTCAGGGAGCCTCGGGCTCGATAGAGGAGGGGACCTCCATCCCCCAGGTCCTCTGGCCCTTCACCTGCTTCTCGGGACCCTGGAAGCTCCAGTCGGCCAGGGAGAGGCTGCATCTGGGTGTAGACAGAACTGATGACAGGCGTGAGTTCTGAGATGCAATTGGTAGGTGGAAGGCGGAGGGGACGCAGATGTTCTGCACCCACAAAGGCCAGAGAACCTCCAAAGCCAGGCTCCAGGCCATGGTGGGCCACCAACTCCACATCCTTTTCGTAGCCGCCTGAGTTCACATCATAGGGGAGGTCTGACAGGCTGAAGCGCATCTGCTTCTCACCTGTGGAGAAGAAGGTCTCAGCAGGACTTCATGTGAAGAGTTCTAAATTCTAAATTCTACTGGGTGGGTTTGTTTGTTTGTTTGTTTATTTATTTATTTATTGGTACTGGGAATCAAACTCAGGACCTTTCGCTTGTGAGGCAGGTGGCAGAACCACTGAGCTACATCCCCAGCTATTTATTTTTATTTTTTAATTGAACTCAAGACCTTGCAGTTGCAAGGCAGGCAGCAGCACTACTGAGCTAAATCTCTGGCCCCATTATCATTATTATTTTGAGATAGGGTCTTGTGAAGTTGCCAGGCTGGCCTCAAATTAGTCATACTCCTGCCTCAGCCTCCCAAATTGCTGAGTTACAGGCATGTCCCACTGTGCCTGATAAGAAAAATTATTATTATTATTAAAGACAGGGTCTTGCTATATAGCTTAGGCTGGTCTTAAACTCACCATTCGGTTTAGGTTGGCCTCAAACTCACAGCAATCCACCTGCCTCAGCCTCCCAAGTGCTGGGATTATAGGTGTGTGCCATGACAACTGGCTCTGTGTTATTATTACTGGTGCTGGGGATTGAACCCAAGACCTCATATATGCTAAGCAATGCTCTCCACTGAGATACCCCTTGCCTTTCCTAACATTACTTACTATACCTCATTTGTTTGCCCCCAGGTCAGGTCCTCTATGTGGCCGTTCCCTGACTCTAGGTTGTAACCCTGGAGGACTCAGTCTCAGCCTGCTCACTCCTTGAATGCTTCCTTCATCATGTTCTGTGAAGCTCCAGGTCCTTAGCTAATGTGAGCCCCAGATGGGAAAACCACGTTTACTTCTTCTCTCTGGCTCTAAGGGCCCACACAGATCGAAGTCCTTGCTACTCTGAAAAATGAGGAGAGCCTGAGGTCTGACCACCTCCTCTTACAACTACCATAAGGGTCCCCAACAATGACCTCCTCCACTCACTTTGCTCCTGTTCTGGGGATAGATTCTAAGCACCAGAAACCTCCAAGCTGCTTTCTTTCCCTAAATGAAATCTCTAGACCAAAATCTCTGGCCTTAGCAACCAGTGCTCAGATTTATTTGGGCTGTGGCTTAAAGCTGATTTCACTCTTACCTACAAACTTCTGGGGTGTGGATCGCTTGCGTTTGGTGAGGCTGTTAGCCAGACGATCAATGAAAGTTGGCCGGTCAGATGCTGAGTGCAACATGGAGTCTGGCACCATCTCCAGATCACGAATCTCATCACCTAGCAGGAGGGAGGTGGGGATAAGTAGTAGTAGCTGAGTAGGAACAGCACTGGCCCAGCAGCCTTTGGAGAAATCTAGCAGGTCAGTAACCAAGGAAGAATCCACCTAATGCCTGGGAAACTGGGCTCTGCCCTAGCAGAAGCACATCCCAACAATGTTCTAGACTGTGGACAATTATACATTTGACCCTTGCTTTAATATTCCTTGTATTCTCTCTCCCATTAGTCTGAGGATACAGACCCAAACTTCCTCTACCTCTGGATTTCCTTATAGCACCTACCATAGGGCTCTGTTCTATACCAGTTGGGGCACTTAGGATGGGGTGATTGGTAGATTTCCTGAGGGTAACTACACTCTGTTCCACATACTGTGTCCCTCTGTGGGAGGAGGTGCTGGAATCACTCTGCCCTGGACTTCCTCTGGCCCTCCTCCCCTCAATGCGCCCATAGTACTGCCTGCAGCCCCACCTGGTTGGGCAGCTAACCCTTGGGCTTCAGTGCTGAGACTCTGTAGGTAGTTGTGGCATCGCTCCTTGTGCTCCTCCAGGGTACTCTGCTGTTTGTAGCTCCGGCCACAGTAGTTGCACTTGTAGGGCTTGCCCACCGTGGGAGAGGAGACTGTGGAGGAGAGAGAGCATCAGAGTTACTTCACCCTGTGCCCCAGCTCTGCACAATCATCCAGGAGCAAATGAACACTAGAATGGGGAGGAAAGGATGTTGCTAAGTTGAATTCTGCTTCTCTTTCCTTTTTGATCTTTACCTGCAACAGTGGACAGATGAACCAAACTTGGGTTAGAGGGATGATGTGTAGCTACAGAGCAAGGGAATCCCAGGACACACAGCAGTGTGCAGGTGGTGGGGTCCTAGATGACCAAATTGCTGCTCAAAGGGAGTGAGGATGCAGGGACTTTGTAGGGGACCGTCCCTGGCAGGCAGGCAGGCAGGCCCCACCCAAGGACCTCATAGCCCAGGGCCCAGACTGTGGTTTAACCTTTCCACGTGGCAGGTGGGTTTAAGTGCTGTTTATCAGACAAGGGGATTTTTTTGCTATTGAACTTATTTGCTTTGGTTTTGGGGAAACTGATGGGTGGGGTGATAGAAATAAGGGCCCTTAGATGTGCCCATGTGGGGAGGAGTAGTTTTCATTGGCCTTTACTTGTATTTTTACCTCCAATCCTTGCCTGGTTTTATTAATTATTTTTGGTCTAGCTACACTGAAATATGAAGAGAGTACCAGAAAAACCATCACTGATAAGAGATTTTGAAAAGAGAAAGAATAAAACAACAGAGAAAAAAATAAAGGAGAAGAGTAAAAGGAAGAGAACATCCAGTTTGGGTTTGTTGTTTATTTTTTTTAAATAGGTTATATGGATCTTGTTTCTACTGAAGAAAAAAGCAGGCTGGCCTTGAACTCATGATCCTTTTGCCTCAGCTGGGATTATAGGCCTGTACTACCATGACTAGCTCTACAAACAGATCTTATGAGATGATATTTGTGAGAGGAGAGAAAACAAGTGAAGAAGAATGAGGTATTGTATATTTTATGTTTCTTGCCACTGTTGAGCAAGGAGACAGGGCAGGTATCTCTAGGATGCTGGTGATTATTATTCATTCCCCCTCCTCATACCAAGGCTGAGCTCTGACTGAATCAACCTCTTGGCATTTTGCTCTTGCTCTGCAAACCCTATTGTTTCGGGAGGAAATGAACACAGGGTCTCTATCCACCCTAGACCCTTGGGGAAGTGGTTTACCTACTGGGAGAGGAATCATTCTCCAGCCTCTTTTTTTTTTTTTTTTTTTTCTGGGGATCGATTCTAGGTCCTTATGCTTGCAGGGCAGGCGGCGGAACCACTGAGCTAAA